ATCTCTGTCTACCAGCTCCAGAGGCCAGTTGCCTTGAGGGCCACCTGTCTTACTGGTAAAAACTGAGGCAAAGTAGGTGTTAAGTACCTCAGCCTTCTCCTCATCTCTATTAACTATGTTTCCCTCCAAGTCCATCAAAGAATGGAGGTTTTCTTTGCCCCTCCTTCTGTTATTAATGTATTTATAGAAGGACTTTTTGATATCCTTAACAGAAGTGGCCAATTTAACTTCAAATTGCGCTTTTGCATCCCTGATTTTCTTTCTGCATGATCTAGCTGTCTTCCTGAATTCTTCGTAAGTAGTCAGCCCTTTCTTCCATAGTTGGTAAACTCTCTTTTTATCCCTGATTTCCTTCAGAATCCCCCTGTTTAACCAAGCTGGTTGTCTTTCCCGCCAGCTTGCCTTTCGGCACACCGGTACAGCCTGTTCCTGTGCTCTCAAAACTTCCTGCTTGAAGCACATCCATCCCTCCTGAACCCCCTTGTTTTTAAGGGTTGTTTCCCAGGGTATGCTCTGCTTAGTTGACAGACAACTGTTTTAAGAACTTGCACAATTTAAACTAAATTTACTTACCAGACCTCCTGTCACAACATTATTGTATTTCTTTCATAACTAATGATCACAAAATGCTATGCTAGACATTTGTATGGCATGTTGGAAGCTACTCACTCTCGCAAGTGAAACAGATCACCCAACATACCATGAGTGAGTACTCCACACGGATTATACTACAGTCAAGGATTGAAGGGGAAACAGGTGGAATTTTCAACTGTTTGCCATTCCAGGTTTCTGTTTTGCCAGATGACAAGGATTCCCCGCGGAGGTTGGCAACAAGCTGTTTGACTTCCTTCATTTTCCCTTTAGCATAGAATGCCTGTGTTTGGTAAATGGTTGCCTTTGGCACCACCATACGAGAAGAGCAATTCTCAATCTCAGCAAAGATCTGAATTGATTCACCTGAAACCAAAAATATCAAAAGTACCAAACAAACACATCAGAATTTCAAGTTCTCTTTATATTTACAAGGCAGCTTAAGCAAACTTTCACATTCTTTATACTGTTATAATGATGCTGCTACCACTGCTCTACCTGAAAAACTCCCACATCCACTGATGCTAATGGAAACAAGATCTCCATGAGCTGTTCTAAAAGGAAAAAGAAAAAACCCAACACACACAAAAAAATACCAGTCTAATAGATGAGGTCCTTGAACAATCTAGAGATACAAGTAGCGCTGTCTTAGTAAACAGAGTATACTGAGAAGATTGCTAAATGCAGACTGATGTGGTAAAAATATCCTTAATGTTTCATTTATATAAAAACAGTAAGTATGGACTCTGGCTTTAAAAAGGAAGAAAAGACATATCCTATAATCAATTCTATCACATACCTGGGGTGTAGCCCTTTCTTTCAATTTTGGCACTTAAAGATATTGGGCCTGAGGTACAAAGCCAGCAACACAGAGTCTTTTCTTTTGTGCCTGCTTGGGGTGACTGCAAGAAGAGGAAAAGTATTGTCCATCAAATTAGGAGCTCCATGAATCCCTTCAGGTATTTAAAGCAACATAGGAAAATAATAATTTTCATAATGTGCTTATTATTACATATTTTGATAAACAAAGCTACTTTGATAGGAAAAGTCTCAAGCAATTTAAACAGCATTATGTAGATACAAAGTTTGTCCTAATTCCACTGCTGTATTAGTATTGCTTTTTCTGCAATCCTCCACACTACAGACACAATTAAAACAATACTAAAAAAAAAATACTGTATAGCTTAAAACAAAAGGCTTCATAGCCTACACATCTCAACATAATGCTGCAGAGCTTTTCATTTAACTAACAGTAAATAAGAACATCTTCACACTTTCCATTAAGCTGCATTTCAGAAAAAAAAATAACTAAGCTAAACTACTGTAATCTTGACTCCTGCTATTTCCTCTGCTTCTGAACGATCCTGTTTCATCTATGTTACAAAGACTTATTTTACACAACACCAGGATTTAGGGCTTGATCGAAAGCCTATTAAAGTCAAATGAGAGACCTTCGATTTTCACGGAGTTTGTGCAAGGTCCTTTTGCAAGTCAATTTTTTGCCCATACACACAAGAAACCTGTTTCAATGGACTTCTAAATTGTTTTCCCCTCCAGATTAAAATTTGAGAAAGGGATAAAATAAAGGATTATTAGGCCAGACTTAAATCCTCACTGGAAGCAGTTGAGGTATTAAAGTTATTAAAATAAAATGAAATTTCAGGAAAGGATTATACAGAATTGTGGTAATTTCTCCACATCAGTAGAAAAATTATTCATATGGAAATTATCAGTTATGCACTGCAGCAAATTTTTTTACTTTGCATGTTTAAGTTAGCAGTCCCTCACTAAAATATTAAGACTTCCGTTGTTCTTTCATAGATTATTCTTTATTTATAATTGAAGAGGAACAGTTCACCAAATTTTCTTCCTTAATGAGAGTCTACAATTTAGTGGTATCAGTTTAGATTGACAAATGCATTTTATGTTTTGCAAAAAGCAAGCAACTCCAAGTGTAGGATAACTTAGCCTTCAAAATGCCAGCAATTGGAGCCTTGTTAAACTGATATAACACTTAAAAGAAGAGCTGTACTTAAACTAGCCAATAAATATTAGGTAAAGCTGCATGTTGATGTTGTTTCGGTTATTATACTTTATTTTTATGCCAGAAAAGGAATGAGGAATTCTGTCAGTTCTTACCAGTAACGAAGGAGTGTTGATATCTATATGTTCAAAGACTGTAAATTCCTTCTTTAATTTTACTGGCAGAAGCCAAGGCCTATGCAATTCAGCTTTCACCCAATAGCGCACACTGCCATGTCTGCCTTCGAATGAGGTAGCAAGTGGTCTGTGCAGGACAAAGGTCAAAGTTGAGTACAGTTTTTCTCTCATTCCAATAATGATGCAGTTGATCAGATTTGGAATTAGTATGTGGAACTGCTATTTTTAATGTATCATAGTAAGCATAACTTATTTGCAAAGTTTCCACATCTCAGAAAAACATAATGTTAAAGTTGGGAAAAAATATCATGTCCAATTCATTCAACAGTAGTTTAGTAGAAGTTTTAAGAATCAATTAAAGAATTGTACTAGAAAGTGCCAGAAGAATACACATTTCCTTTAGACTTAAGAGGTCATTTTCAAGTGTAGAATAAAGGGCTTTTTTTAAGGTCGAATTAGGACCACCAAAAAAAATTAGCATTAGTATCATCCAATTATTGTTTTGGACATTGTATTCTGTAAATAGCTGTGTATTATTTACTTGACTGGTATCTAAGTGGTTTAGCTATAACTGAGTGCTTTTGTAGTTTGTTTTGCCTTCAGTACGGTAGTTAAATATTTCAATTTAGAGTTCTGAATAGAGAGCTTTCGAGCATCGTCTAATTTTCCTTTACTCTGATGGGATCATTTAAAAATATATATATATATATATACATACACACACATATAAAAAAGATAAAGACTATTCTGCTCGGAACACTGAAAGAAAGTCCTTTTGGGGAGTTGGAAAAAAAAAAAAAAAAAGATGCAGAAAAGGACTTCAAACCTTTCAGCATTGCCCTTTTATCCTCTTCTCCCTCCTCCTTTCCCTCCCACCCCAACATCATAAGATGAAGAATGTAAGATTTTTATATTCCACTCATGTCCAGTTAACCGTAACTTGTTTTTTCCTAACATTTTCTGCCTTTAATCTCCAGGAAGAATTTTTATATTGCACTACGTTTGAAATGCATCATAATAAAAGATAAGTTATGGGCAAAGCTTCCCTCCCTAACTTCTATATCGAATAATACTACTTGTGCTATTACTTTACTAGAATGATTCTTTCTGCTACAGGTTTGACATCTCTACTTGCACATCTGAAATGTTTACTTTTCTTTTCTTAATAACGCAAATGAAAGAATTTTCAAATCAGCCTACAATGTTTCATCCTGCCCCAGTATCCTTTAAAGCCAAATCAGTAAGGCCAGTCAGCATATTGTTTTTTTCACTATTGCTTTGCATTTGGTTGCAGTGGGTCTGGCTGGGATGGAGTTAACTTTCCTCATAACAGCCCCTATAGTGGGGCAGAGGACTATGGCTTTTGTTTTTTCTTCTTAAACTGCCTTTATCTCGACCCACAAGCTTGTCCATCTTATTTTCTCCCCCTGCCCTGTTGATGAGGAGGAATGAGAGAGCAACTGCATGGAGAGCTGGCTGGCAGGCAGCCAAGGTCAACCTACCACATTGCTTTTGTTTTAAATAAATTTTAGAAATATTCTATGGATACAAAATAGCAAGAAATGGTAAGGAGGAAGTGTCAAACTAGTGTTCTTCAGGCCTTTTATTACCAGCCTTCATTTTTTCCACTATTATCAAAGATGACTTCATAGTTACTCCTTCAAGTCACTTGAAAAGATCTTTAGTGTTTTAATCAATTCTTGTGCTATTTTACTGGTCATATTTGAACATCTCTTCCAACTCAAGGGAATATCAGTATCGTCCTTATCACTTCTTATAGACGAGATTTTCATCTGAACCTTAAACTGACTTCTAAAAGTTTTCATATATATGGGTCTTCTTCAGTGTTCTAATAATATCTACTGTAAAGCCCTTTGCTATTCACTGAAACTGATCCATAAAAGCATTTATCATCTGCAGGTTCTGCTAAAGCCAGTCCCTCTAATAAGCAGATGTTTTATTAGCTTTAATATTAGGTATCAGTCTAATATTCTGCCAGCTTTTTTTAACCTTAATGACTTTGGCACTTGGCTTTTACAGTAAGAGGTCCCTCCCGCCTCCCTTCTTTCATCTATTTCCAGACTCTCTCTGTTCCTTCATATTTAATTTTCCGGCAACTTGTGCTTTAGCTAATTCCCATGCTGGTAACTCCTCTACATATAAATCTTCCCTTCACAATGTATACATTAGACACCTCAAATTTTTGTGTGTGTGTGATTTATCTTAAGACTTCTGCTATCACTCTTGCTTCACCTTTGATTTCTGAGACAAGCGGGATTAGGGTATGGGAATGTTCCTTGCTTCATCCACCCATCCATTTGCTTATTTCCATCCTGGATTTTTTGTCTAAAGTGGCTTGCAGAAACAAACCCCAAACCTCGCAAAGAGTATTGAAGCAGGTATGTTTATTCACGGCGCCGGGTGCATGGGGGATAATTTCTCCAATCACGCACACCCATTGCTTTTGTTCAGCTCTTTTTATGCAGTATAATGTTACATATGCATTAGTAGTATTACGTATACATTAGTTGTGTTACATATGCATTAGCTGTGTCAGCAAATTGCAGAAAAGTGGGAGGGGAAATCATTAACATACACCACTCCTATAACTCTGCCTTGGAACGCCCCCTTGGGGGTTTCTTTAGGGAGTCTTTGGGGGTCTTTTGGATGAAGTAAGAGGTCTTCCTCAGCTTGAACTTTTTGCCTTTGCTAAGAATTGCTGAGTTGGCACTGTCCAATTAACTCAAAACTGGTATCTTCTTCAGGAGCTTCTCTTTATCAACTTCCAAGGTCTCTTTCCCATGAGCTTCAAAGCCCCTTATCTAAACTCTAAGGTTTTCTGTTCCTGCTAAAGTCTTCATTATAAAATTAACTATATCTTGTCTGTGAGTTAGTATAAGCAAGCAAGGCCCTATCCTAATTCTATCTAAAAATTAGCTAGTAAGCAACTAAGGCTACAATCTTGTACCACCGCTTTATATTTTGATCACCCTTTATCAAAAGGTCAGCCTGAATACATACATGCTATTTGAAGTAGGGAACAAAAAATAAAAATCTTATTTTGTTCAAATGCAGTTAAGCTTGCCATGTCTGTTTCAGACTGAGCCCAAGCAGTTAAGCTGTTATTTTATCACTAGTTCTGATGGCCTGCATGGCTCCAGTAAAATCTTGTTTCCTTTAGAAGATACCTCAGCCACTCTGCAGGACTCAAATGACACAAATTCCCCTCCCTTCTCCTGTGAAGGGGTAAAATACTACAAGACATAAGGAGCCAACAGACCTCAGTCAAAAGAAACAGTAACCAACTGGGCAACAACGAGTTCCTGTTTTGTGAAAACCTCTTAACCAGTTTAAAAACAACCTCTTCAGTTTAATGAGATTATGTCCTCTATTGCGTGTCTGCACACATCTCCTACTACCATTGAAAAGGTTTCCCCTCCACCTACAAGAATGTTTCCTTAAGCAGATATGTATCTTGGCCTTCTCTCACACAAGCTGTATACTGAATATAAATACTTACATCTGTGGAAGCTCAAAGCTGAATGCATATTCATGCCTTCCTGAATGAATGGTGTGAAGGCCTTCTTCAGAATTGTCATCATCTAGGAGGGAAAAACCCAATATGCTATTCCACCCGTGAACATTTTACACAGCATAATATATTATATAGGTTTCTTTTCCAGAATAGGAGGGATTTATACATTCTTTACAATACTAAGAATACAGTGTCCCAGAAACAGGTCTCTCCAGTCCATTTGTATTAACTGCTAGATGTATGGCTGCAGAATTTTTAAGGTTAGGTGAGATTCCAAGACTCACCTGACATAAAAGTAGAATTTAACTTGTTTTAATTTATGATCTTGATTCCAAGTACTGACATAGTTGTAACTGCTGCCATTTCAAGGTCTGCCTGAAAGATCTGTAATGGAAACTGTTTTCCAATATGATTTCGAGTTAAAATGAAATAGAGCTCTCTAATAGTATTGTGATCTTAGCATTGTCTGCTATCTTAATCGACTACATTTAGTAATTCAGCTTCCTCCTGCCTAGCAAGTGTCCAAAACTTGATTTTTTAAAAAGTGCACAAGCATCACCTAGAAGGTACAAAACAAATTCAGGGGCACGAGAAGTGGCAAGCTGTCCAGTTAATGCTGTGTAGAGCTAATGTATCAAAAATTCAAAGTTTAGCTCAATCTTGCTTGGATAGCAAAGACCCAAATATTTCCTAATTTCAAGAAGAAAGCTGACCTTGGTGTACAGTCATGATTCCTTGTATTGCTGTAAATGCTCCAACAAATTTGCAGTTTGTTTCAATATAATCACCATGAAACCAGAAAAAAAAAAACCCACGCTGATTCCACCAGAATAGAAAGTTATTTAGATAAAGCAATTGAGCATCGCATATACAATAGGGTTGGCGTAATAAAGGCACATATAGTGGGATTATGCAAAAGACACTTCCTGTTGTTAATAGTCTGAAGCATCGTGAAGGAAAATTGGTACGGTTTAAGATTTTTTTAGTTCCCAATGTTCTACAAAAGTACTGATGCTCCAATTTCTTTAGTGCACCAGAAATGCTGAAACAAACCTATGCAAAAATATAAAACCACTACAATGCTATTTACACAAATGCATCTGCAGCATGTAATGTCATGAAACAAGAATCTTCAATACACTGAAAAAACAAAGCGATGTGTATAATGGGGGTTTTTTTTCTTTGTTAAAAAACACTTGGAGGGCTCTGTTGGTTTGGTTTTAATTAAAAAGAATAATCTTTCCTTGTGCATAAGTTTTTTCATCCCTTCTTCACTTCCTTCCTGTCAGATCAGCAGTCCCATTGAGCCTGAGCAGCAGCAGCAGAAGAACTGTGGTAAACAAGTACTGAGCTGTCAATCACAGACCAGGCTGGAGCAGGAGAGGACTGGCCTAAACAGGGGCGAGCACATCCCCTGCCAACCACTGGTATAAATACAGTATACATTACACCCCACTGCATCTGCTCAGCAACTCTGCTCACAGCCTAGCCTGACTACCGCAGAGGTAACAAGAGAGGGAGGGGTGTCACCCCTGCCTCACCATCCACCCTCGTCATACCACAGGGTCACGCTGCTGGCTTTCCCCGTGCTATGTGCAAGGCGACACCCCAATCCTGCACTTCTCTCAGGAGCATGTGCTGACCATTACTGGAAAGCGATTACAGGTAGTGCTGGCTGGGGGCGCGGGACAGGAAAGATAACCGAGTGAGGGATGCCAGAGGCTGCAGAGCCGTTTGTCCCAATGACCGCCCCTGCTCACAACCCCTTGCTGGCCCAGTGGATGTGCAGGGCAGGAGCTTGAATACTTCTGTCTGTCCCCAGAGATGGGCTTTCCCAAGAAAGGTGGTGTGCCCTCAGGAGCCCCTTCGCTCCGCCCCCCAGCACACACCAGAGAGCAGAACTTCCCCCCACATCCCAGCTCCCTGCAATCAGCGGCTGGCATCACCTTAGCAACAGGCTAACAAACCCCAGCAGGCCAATGACAAGGCAGAGACAGGGAGCGGCCTTCCAGACTATGGTAGGGTACGAGGCGTAGAATTAAACTCCACTCTGCGCAGCAAGCATTCGCAGTCCTGTCCCTGCAGCCAAGGGAGGGGCAGTGGTATCCCGGGACAACTGCTTAAGATTTTACGTGCCGTATATGCAGCACCAGTCTTACTTCTGGTGTCGGAAGGTGTCGGATCTGTCCCTTCCCTGCCACCTTTTGTTCCCTTTCCAGCCAAAACCAAGCACCTAATATCGGGGTCAGCATTTGGATCTACAGGCCACATGCAAAGGCATTGCTGCTGCTTAAGCAGGCAGAAGCATGGGATCGCCTTCTTACTTGTAAGCATACATCCCGCTATGAATGACTCATGCATGTTTGCATGTTTCTGTCATCTGCAAGCCAGAGGTGAACGAATTTTCACAAGAGAACTATTTCTAAGGCAGCACTATAAAGAGCATTTGAGCTAGAAAGACACCTCATGAGTGACCTGAGCTTGCTTGCATCGCGGTAACATAATTAAAATCAATAGCAACTGCTATTTGCAGAGGATCTCTGCAGTAAATATGCTTCATATTTTAAAAAATACCAGAAACAACAACCCCCCCTTCCCCTCCCCCCCCAAAAAAAAAACCCAAAACAACAAAAAATCCTGCAAAAACCAACCAACCAAAAGAACACACCGAAACACCCAAACAAATTATGTACTCAGTTTTAATATTTTCTTGTTCTAGGAACTGAGTCATCACCGCCACCTGACGTGTACAACCAATCTGCAGAGAGAAGGAATATTCCCTCCCTTCTTCCCAGGACCGGTCCCAAACAGGATTGAACCGCTTCTAACAAAGGATGGAAACTTCAGAAGTAACAAGCTTAGAGTCCCTTATACTTTCACAACGTAACTATGCGAACAATAGATTAGCAAATTTAAGACCCACAATCCCGCTCACAATGTAATACTCCATTTCCATACCCAAAATAAAGGGAATTTGCAGGGCACTTTCCGTTTCTATAGGGGCTTAGCGGACCCGGTTTTCATTGAGTGCAGGTTCCAGAACTCCCCAACTCAGAAGCGATGCTCCAATCATACAGTCATGACCTCTTATTTGGCCTTTCAGACAGATTTTTACATTTGGGTCCCCCATAGAGGAGTTGAATAAAAGAAATGAAAGTAACTTACAAGTACACTAGTTTAGAACAAAGGAAGAGATGGAAAATTACGGGTGAGGTGGTGATAGCATGTCAAAGTAATCCACAGGAAATCTCTTATCTGCCAATAGTGAACCAACCTTAAGAATCATTCTGGAAGTCAGACCTGTATCTATTATGTGTCAAAAAGTCTAGTGTTACGTTTTAATTACGATTCAATAGGATGCTACCAAGAAAGTAACTTACTGCATTATCTGGGTTTGATTTAAGTTACTTTTCCATATAGAGAAACAAATCACGCTAATATCACTAAAGAAAAAAAAGGCATTGTATATTAAAAAACACATATTAAAGACAATGCAAATCCTTATGAAAAGACTGTTAAGAGGCAGGTATCTTTTAAAAGTCCTGTTTTCAGGTACTTTGAAAATGCACCTCAACATGCTTTTAAGTAAACGTTCAAATAATCAACAATACAACCTAAGAATGTAACCGGCATTTCCTCATCTTTAGAAATAGTGAACGCTATGATACTGCATATTTAAAAGGGATAAATCAAGCAAAGATGCGTCTTTTTCTGGAAATGTGTCTGCATGTAGTGAATGAATAAGCGAAAAGCTTACCTCTTTCATGCCCGACTAGAACGTCCTTATGGTTAAAATACTCTACTTCTTCAGTGTAATTTTGTGTATAGGCAGTGTTGGATCCAGCATTTCTAGATTCGGTCCAACGTACTTTTGCGCGTCCTCTTGCATGAATTTTAAGAGATTTCACTCTCATTTCCCCAGTAACTTCTAAACTGATCCTTCCTGATACTGTGTCCCCGCTAGAATAGACGGGGATATTGCTGTCACTGAGACAGTCAAAGCTTATTGTCAAACTCTTCACCTTCCCCAGCACCATATTTTATAACAAAGTGTATTAAAATATACTGTAAAGGGAAAAAAAAAGTCAAGGTCTCATACAAAATGCGATCTTCACTTTACACTGAACAACGCCTCTGCTGCGTATAGAGCCTGCCAACAAGATCAGCGTGTCCCCTACAAACGCTTCATCGGAATTACTAAGAAAACCGCGAGAGCGGCAGCCGCCCAGCGCTGCGATATCCTTACAAAGGCAGCTGCCTGCACGCTGGCACCTCACTTTAAGAACAGCTTTGTGGAAAACAACCGCCCTCGCGCATGCGCGAATCGAGTCGCAGAGAGTTAGAGCCCCGCCTTGCAGCACTCGCCGCATTTACTGAGGAGTGAGGGGAGAAAAGCAAGGCGGGGGGAGGGGAGGGCGGCAAAGGCGGCCGTGCCCCATTCACCTGCCAGGTGTTCACCGACTGCTGCCTGGTTTCAGGTGCCAACTTCTTCCGAGACAACTCCCGACCAGCCAGCGAGGACCCCCAGGCCGTGCCAGGCAGTGAGATGAGACGAGAGGTTGAAGCCCTCCGGACAAGGAGCCCTCATCCTCCACCCCAGACGTTTTTCTCTCAGTTCTTCAGTACCTATCTCAACACCGTCCTGCGAACTCGCAGTAGAGCCCTGGCTCCACCAGGCAGTGCTCTAACTCTCTGCGTGAGACGGAAGCAATAACACAAGAAAAACGACAGGAAAGATACACGCAAGCGGTGGAGGAAACCGCCGCCACGACTCGATTCGCGCATGCGCGAGGGCGGTTGTTTTCCACAAAGCTGTTCTTAAAGTGAGGTGCCAGCGTGCAGGCAGCTGCCTTTGTAAGGATATCGCAGCGCTGGGCGGCTGCCGCTCTCGCGGTTTTCTTAGTAATTCCGATGAAGCGTTTGTAGGGGACACGCTGATCTTGTTGGCAGGCTCTATACGCAGCAGAGGCGTTGTTCAGTGTAAAGTGAAGATCGCATTTTGTATGAGACCTTGACTTTTTTTTTCCCTTTACAGTATATTTTAATACACTTTGTTATAAAATATGGTGCTGGGGAAGGTGAAGAGTTTGACAATAAGCTTTGACTGTCTCAGTGACAGCAATATCCCCGTCTATTCTAGCGGGGACACAGTATCAGGAAGGATCAGTTTAGAAGTTACTGGGGAAATGAGAGTGAAATCTCTTAAAATTCATGCAAGAGGACGCGCAAAAGTACGTTGGACCGAATCTAGAAATGCTGGATCCAACACTGCCTATACACAAAATTACACTGAAGAAGTAGAGTATTTTAACCATAAGGACGTTCTAGTCGGGCATGAAAGAGGTAAGCTTTTCGCTTATTCATTCACTACATGCAGACACATTTCCAGAAAAAGACGCATCTTTGCTTGATTTATCCCTTTTAAATATGCAGTATCATAGCGTTCACTATTTCTAAAGATGAGGAAATGCCGGTTACATTCTTAGGTTGTATTGTTGATTATTTGAACGTTTACTTAAAAGCATGTTGAGGTGCATTTTCAAAGTACCTGAAAACAGGACTTTTAAAAGATACCTGCCTCTTAACAGTCTTTTCATAAGGATTTGCATTGTCTTTAATATGTGTTTTTTAATATACAATGCCTTTTTTTTCTTTAGTGATATTAGCGTGATTTGTTTCTCTATATGGAAAAGTAACTTAAATCAAACCCAGATAATGCAGTAAGTTACTTTCTTGGTAGCATCCTATTGAATCGTAATTAAAACGTAACACTAGACTTTTTGACACATAATAGATACAGGTCTGACTTCCAGAATGATTCTTAAGGTTGGTTCACTATTGGCAGATAAGAGATTTCCTGTGGATTACTTTGACATGCTATCACCACCTCACCCGTAATTTTCCATCTCTTCCTTTGTTCTAAACTAGTGTACTTGTAAGTTACTTTCATTTCTTTTATTCAACTCCTCTATGGGGGACCCAAATGTAAAAATCTGTCTGAAAGGCCAAATAAGAGGTCATGACTGTATGATTGGAGCATCGCTTCTGAGTTGGGGAGTTCTGGAACCTGCACTCAATGAAAACCGGGTCCGCTAAGCCCCTATAGAAACGGAAAGTGCCCTGCAAATTCCCTTTATTTTGGGTATGGAAATGGAGTATTACATTGTGAGCGGGATTGTGGGTCTTAAATTTGCTAATCTATTGTTCGCATAGTTACGTTGTGAAAGTATAAGGGACTCTAAGCTTGTTACTTCTGAAGTTTCCATCCTTTGTTAGAAGCGGTTCAATCCTGTTTGGGACCGGTCCTGGGAAGAAGGGAGGGAATATTCCTTCTCTCTGCAGATTGGTTGTACACGTCAGGTGGCGGTGATGACTCAGTTCCTAGAACAAGAAAATATTAAAACTGAGTACATAATTTGTTTGGGTGTTTCGGTGTGTTCTTTTGGTTGGTTGGTTTTTGCAGGATTTTTTGTTGTTTTGGGTTTTTTTTTTGGGGGGGGAGGGGAAGGGGGGGTTGTTGTTTCTGGTATTTTTTAAAATATGAAGCATATTTACTGCAGAGATCCTCTGCAAATAGCAGTTGCTATTGATTTTAATTATGTTACCGCGATGCAAGCAAGCTCAGGTCACTCATGAGGTGTCTTTCTAGCTCAAATGCTCTTTATAGTGCTGCCTTAGAAATAGTTCTCTTGTGAAAATTCGTTCACCTCTGGCTTGCAGATGACAGAAACATGCAAACATGCATGAGTCATTCATAGCGGGATGTATGCTTACAAGTAAGAAGGCGATCCCATGCTTCTGCCTGCTTAAGCAGCAGCAATGCCTTTGCATGTGGCCTGTAGATCCAAATGCTGACCCCGATATTAGGTGCTTGGTTTTGGCTGGAAAGGGAACAAAAGGTGGCAGGGAAGGGACAGATCCGACACCTTCCGACACCAGAAGTAAGACTGGTGCTGCATATACGGCACGTAAAATCTTAAGCAGTTGTCCCGGGATACCACTGCCCCTCCCTTGGCTGCAGGGACAGGACTGCGAATGCTTGCTGCGCAGAGTGGAGTTTAATTCTACGCCTCGTACCCTACCATAGTCTGGAAGGCCGCTCCCTGTCTCTGCCTTGTCATTGGCCTGCTGGGGTTTGTTAGCCTGTTGCTAAGGTGATGCCAGCCGCTGATTGCAGGGAGCTGGGATGTGGGGGGAAGTTCTGCTCTCTGGTGTGTGCTGGGGGGCGGAGCGAAGGGGCTCCTGAGGGCACACCACCTTTCTTGGGAAAGCCCATCTCTGGGGACAGACAGAAGTATTCAAGCTCCTGCCCTGCACATCCACTGGGCCAGCAAGGGGTTGTGAGCAGGGGCGGTCATTGGGACAAACGGCTCTGCAGCCTCTGGCATCCCTCACTCGGTTATCTTTCCTGTCCCGCGCCCCCAGCCAGCACTACCTGTAATCGCTTTCCAGTAATGGTCAGCACATGCTCCTGAGAGAAGTGCAGGATTGGGGTGTCGCCTTGCACATAGCACGGGGAAAGCCAGCAGCGTGACCCTGTGGTATGACGAGGGTGGATGGTGAGGCAGGGGTGACACCCCTCCCTCTCTTGTTACCTCTGCGGTAGTCAGGCTAGGCTGTGAGCAGAGTTGCTGAGCAGATGCAGTGGGGTGTAATGTATACTGTATTTATACCAGTGGTTGGCAGGGGATGTGCTCGCCCCTGTTTAGGCCAGTCCTCTCCTGCTCCAGCCTGGTCTGTGATTGACAGCTCAGTACTTGTTTACCACAGTTCTTCTGCTGCTGCTGCTCAGGCTCAATGGGACTGCTGATCTGACAGGAAGGAAGTGAAGAAGGGATGAAAAAACTTATGCACAAGGAAAGATTATTCTTTTTAATTAAAACCAAACCAACAGAGCCCTCCAAGTGTTTTTTAACAAAGAAAAAAAAACCCCATTATACACATCGCTTTGTTTTTTCAGTGTATTGAAGATTCTTGTTTCATGACATTACATGCTGCAGATGCATTTGTGTAAATAGCATTGTAGTGGTTTTATATTTTTGCATAGGTTTGTTTCAGCATTTCTGGTGCACTAAAGAAATTGGAGCATCAGTACTTTTGTAGAACATTGGGAACTAAAAAAATCTTAAACCGTACCAATTTTCCTTCACGATGCTTCAGACTATTAACAACAGGAAGTGTCTTTTGCATAATCCCACTATATGTGCCTTTATTACGCCAACCCTATTGTATATGCGATGCTCAATTGCTTTATCTAAATAACTTTCTATTCTGGTGGAATCAGCGTGGGTTTTTTTTTTTCTGGTTTCATGGTGATTATATTGAAACAAACTGCAAATTTGTTGGAGCATTTACAGCAATACAAGGAATCATGACTGTACACCAAGGTCAGCTTTCTTCTTGAAATTAGGAAATATTTGGGTCTTTGCTATCCAAGCAAGATTGAGCTAAACTTTGAATTTTTGATACATTAGCTCTACACAGCATTAACTGGACAGCTTGCCACTTCTCGTGCCCCTGAATTTGTTTTGTACCTTCTAGGTGATGCTTGTGCACTTTTTAAAAAATCAAGTTTTGGACACTTGCTAGGCAGGAGGAAGCTGAATTACTAAATGTAGTCGATTAAGATAGCAGACAATGCTAAGATCACAATACTATTAGAGAGCTCTATTTCATTTTAACTCGAAATCATATTGGAAAACAGTTTCCATTACAGATCTTTCAGGCAGACCTTGAAATGGCAGCAGTTACAACTATGTCAGTACTTGGAATCAAGATCATAAATTAAAACAAGTTAAATTCTACTTTTATGTCAGGTGAGTCTTGGAATCTCACCTAACCTTAAAAATTCTGCAGCCATACATCTAGCAGTTAATACAAATGGACTGGAGAGACCTGTTTCTGGGACACTGTATTCTTAGTATTGTAAAGAATGTATAAATCCCTCCTATTCTGGAAAAGAAACCTATATAATATATTATGCTGTGTAAAATGTTCACGGGTGGAATAGCATATTGGGTTTTTCCCTCCTAGATGA